ACAGACAGACAGACTGAAAGCCTGCTGAACTGGACTTTGGAAAGAATTAACTTCAATGAACACCAAATAGGATAAATGAACTCCAAAGAGAACAATGCAAAGAGATACACCAAGACACATCACAAGAGGACCAGGCTCCCACCCTGGCCACCCTGGAACAGAAGCTCCACACCAAGCAGGCTGCTCAGTCCTGATCAGCCCCAGCCCAATTCACCAGCAGGCCCAAGAGAGACTAGAAAACACCTTCTACTTCCCTCTAGGAAACAGAGTGTCACCTGAGAGACACTCATGCTGTTCCTGCCCTACTCCTCAAGCCCCATCAGAGATCCTGTCAGGAAGAGGCAGACCATAAGAAGGGAAAGAGACCTTGGTAGGATGAGGAGAGGGCCTCTGGGCTCCCAGAGATCAGCAGCACCAGCTAAACAGAGTGGGCCAAGGTTTAACAGAGGCCAGGGACAGGGACGCCAAGAGCCCTCTGGACACAGCCAAGAGAGGGTCCAGGCTGCAGTCACAGCAGACAGGGGCACTAGGAAGCAGGGGCCCAATGGCAGAGGGACTGGAGCACAGCCTCTGAGAGAGCACCTGCTGACCCAGAGCAGCTGCCAGGATGAGCATTCCTGGCCACCAGGCCACCAGAGGCTTTGTGCACACCTAGGCTACACCCTCCTGGCAATCAGCAGAGGGAATTCCCAGGCCACCAGTCCTTGGCCATAGGAGGGTCAAAAATGTAAACATCCTGAGCTGTGACAGCAATCTCCAAGCCACAGATGCAGGGCCCAGGGCAAAACCTCAGCAGGCCAAGAGGGCTGAAGAAGAATCTCTGACACCTGGGGGCTTACACTAAGCCCAAGGGCCTGGCCAAAATACAAAAACAGAAAAAATATCAGAGGCTGCACATGGACAGGGAGAACAGATAGAGCTCCCCGTGTTCAGAGTCAGAACAACAAGCAAAATGACCAAGCAGACGTCATCAAAATGATACACAAAAAAAGATACACCCAATACAGAAAAGCATGATCCAAGCCCCAGAAACTGTGTGAAACACCACCATGTACATCAACATAGATATGACTCAAGTCCTCGAAGGAGAGATGAGACAGGCAGAAAAAATATTCAACCAAATAAGGGTGGAAAACAGAAGCAGGAAAAAAAAAAAAAACAGAAGCAGGGGTGCACCCCTGTAATCCAGAGACTCTGAAGCTGAGCAGCAGAATGCAAGTTCAAGCCTATCCTGGGCAACTCAGCGAGACACTGTCACAAGATAAAAAATAAAAGGGCTGACAGTGTAGCTCAGTGGTAAAGCATCCCTGGGTTCAATCCCCAGGACTGTCAAGAAAGAAAGCCAGACAGACAGACAGACTGAAAGCCTGCTGAACTGGACTTTGGAAAGAATTAACTTCAATGAACACCAAATAGGATAAATGAACTCCAAAGAGAACAACGCAAAGAGATACACCAAGACACATCACAATCAAAAAGCTTAAAGGCAAAGACAAAGGCAAATTAAAATATGGCAAACAATAAAAGAAAAAAGTCACATCTTATACAAAGAAACCCCATAATTCTAACAGCAAACTCCTCATCAGAAACAACAGGGGCCAGGAAGCCTGGAACCACACATTCCAGTGCTAAAAGATTAAAATGTCAACCAAGAACCTGTCCAGAAAAACTATCCTTCAGAAACACAAGCAAAATGAAGACATCCCTAGATCAACCATGGCTCAGAGAATCTGTTCCTTGTAAGAAGTGCTAAGAAGGCCAGGCACGGTGTGCACACCTGTAATCCCAGTGGCTGGGGAGGCTGAGGCAGGAGGATTGTGAGTTCAAAGCCAGCCTCTGCAAACAACTAAAGCTCTAAGCAACTCAGTGAGACTCTGTCTCTAAATAAAATACAAAATAGGAGGGATGTGGCTCAGTGGTTGGGTGCCCCTGAGTTCAACCCCCAGTACCCCCACCTTCCCAAAAAAAGAAGTGCTAAGAAGTTTCTGAAGGTGAAAGCAAATGGTAACAGTAATTCAAACCCACAACAACACCAGGAGCACTGGAAGGCAGGCATGTAAATACAAAGGGTGATTCAGTAACTCACAGTTAGGCTTGTGACACTCACAGACACACCTTCCACAATGATACCATAACGAGGGTGGAAGGAGCAGAGCCACCAGAGGAAAGACCATGCCACTGAAATCAGTATAAACCGGAAGCATGTTTCTATGTTGTAAGCCTTAGATCAACCACTAAGAACATCCATGGAAACCCACAGAGAACATCACAGATCAGGAACAAGCATGTCCTGGAGTTTCAGCCAGAGCAATTAAATAAAAGAAATAAAAGGCATCCGTATTGGAAAGGAAAAAGTAAAACTACCTTCTCATAGATGAGAACAACTTGTACAGAGAAATTCCTAAGTAATCCACAAAAATCATAAACAAGTTCAGTAAGGTTCCAAGATACAAAAGCAATATGCAAAATTCAACTCTATTTCTACACATGAATAATCCAAAAAGGAGAATAAGAAAACAATTAGCAACGACATTCAATGGCCCCAACCTCACAGCACACATGAAATTAAATTAGACCAAAGACCTAAAATGTTTAACAGTTGAAATATAAATTATAAAAGTCATAGATGTAAATCTGTGTCTTGGCTAAAGCAAGTTTCTTAGATATCTGAGACAAAAGCAGAAGCAACAAAGAATAAAGCCTCTGAACTTCTGTGAAAACTAGAAACTTTTGTGCTTCTAAGAATAGACTCAACAAAGGGAAAAACAAACAGAGAATTGGAAAAGAAAATGTGCAAACTTATCTAATAGGGTTATATTACCCAAAACATACAATGAATTCTTATAACTCAACAACTAAAGGACAAACAATCCAAATTAAAATCAGGTAAAAGACTACAAACAGATGCTTCTCCAAAGTTCCACAAATAGCCAACAAATTCATGAAAACTTCATCACCATTAGCCCTTGGAGAAATCCAAATCAAATGATGACAAGAGACTACTTCACATACAGCAAGTTTCTAACAGTGAAGCTACCAAGGGTTAAGGACATGGGGACAGCCAGTGGGGACACGAAATGGGCAACCACTGAAGTAAACAATCTGGCAGTTTTTTGAAAGAGCTAAAATTACTATATGGCCCTGCAATTCCTCTCCATAGGTCCACAGAAATATCTGTACATGAGTGTTCACAGGAGTGTAATTCACAGCAGCTAAAAACTGGAAACCAGAACAGCATAAACTTACTAATGGACAGAGCGCAGCATGTCTGGGATGCCTGTACGTGGAATATTATCAGTCCTAAAAAGAATAAAGAAATCCACACTACCAAAAGAATGCTTCACGGATGAACCTCAGGAGCACTTAAATGAAAGGAGGCACACAGCCTCAGGAAAAACAAGGGCTAAGCAACTCAATGAGACCCTGGCTCTAAATAAAAATACGAAAAATAGGGCTGGTGGTGTGGCTCCGTAGTGGAGTTCCCCTGGGTTCAAGCCCCAGTAAACCACTCGCCCCAAAAAAGAAAGAAGCCACACAGGACGTCACAGCATACTTCACATGTAGACCAGGCGCAGCTGGAGGAAGACGCAGGCGGGCGCCGGGGTGACGGAGGGCCTCAAACGTCCCGGCATCTCCCCTGAGGATCCCGCAGGACGGTGCGGCTCGGGGTTACACAGTCCCGCCGCTGGGCCGCTCACGACATGTGTCTGACATCTTGGTCCGGAGGACTGGAGCTAGGGATGCTCACCACCCCGCCTCGGCCGCAGACCCCTTTCTTCTACATTCTGACGCAGGGTCTCACTAAGCTGCAGAAGCTCCGGGGCCCGGCTCCGCGGACCTGTTCCTCCCCTCCTGCACTGACCTGCTCCTCCCCTCCTGCACTGACCTGCTCCTCCCC